ACCTATTCATCTACCTGCCTGTCAAGCTATTCATCTACCTACATGTCAACCTATTCATCTGCCTACCTGTCAACCTATTCATCTACCTGTCAACCTATTCATCTACCTACCTGTCAACCTATTCATCTACCTACCTGTCAACCTATTCATCTACCTACCTGTCAACCTATTCATCTGCCTGCCTGTCAACCTATTCATCTACCAGCCTGTCAACCTATTCATCTACCTGTCAACCTATTCATCTGCCTGCCTGTCAACCTATTCATCTGCCTGCCTGTCAACCTATTCATCTGCCTGCCTGTCAACCTGTTTATCTGCCTACCTGTCAACCTATTCATCTGCCTACCTGTCAACCTATTTATCTGCCTACCTGTCAACCTATTTATCTGCCTACCTGTCAACCTATTCATCTGCCTACCTGTCAACCTATTCATCTGCCTACCTGTCAACCTATTCATCTACCTACCTGTCAACCTATTCATCTACCTACCTGTCAACCTATTCATCTACCTACCTGTCAACCTATTCGTCTACCTACCTGTCAACCTATTCATCTACCAACCTGTCAACCTATTCATCTACCTGTCAACCTATTCATCTACCTGTCAACCTATTCATCTGCCTACCTGTCAACCTATTCATCTACCTACCTGTCAACCTATTCATCTGCCTACCTGTCAACCTATTCATCTACCTACCTGTCAACCTATTCATCTACCTACCTGTCAACCTATTCATCTACCTGTCAACCTATTCATCTACCTGTCAACCTATTCATCTGCCTACCTGTCAACCTATTCATCTACCTGTCAACCTATTCATCTGCCTACCTGTTAACCTATTCATCTGCCTACCTGTCAACCTATTCATCTGCCTACCTGTCAACCTGCTTATCTACCTGCCTACAAACCTGTTTATCAACCTCCCAGCCAACCTGTCTGTTTATCTGCCCATCAACCTTTTGCTTTATCTGTCTGCCCGTCCATCTACCTATCTACCTATCTGCTTATTAAATTTAAATGTTGCTACCTTACGTGTCTCTAAAATGTGTTTTATTCAAAAAACTCTCCCATGTTTGTATTCTCTACCAAAGTAACACTTGTGTCTGTATGTTACACATCATACAATATGTGAGAGGCTGGATAGAAAGGTTGGGCCTGAGGGGATTATAGATTATTGCTGTGATGACGTTTTTACCGTAGCTTTGAGACAATTTTGAATTTTTAAATTAATAAATAATATCACCAACTTAAAACAAAGATTTTTTGTGTGTAACTAGCGCGGATAAATAAACTGGCATATATGGAGATTTTCCAGTTTTCTTTTTTTTAATTTTCTATAAAGTATTGGCCAAGTTCAAATAGTATTAAAATTATTTCTTGAAAAAAACGAACAGATTTTGTTTAGTTCTAATCTTATGTAAATATATATCCAAATCAGAACCTCTGTAATTCTAATATTATTTGTACGTTATTTTACGGTTACTTAGTAAAAAAATCGATAGAATTTTACCAAAAAAATAATTCTAAATAAGAAAAACTCATTAGATCGGAAACTGAGTTAAAAAAAGAATTCCAACAATGGATTTAAAGAAAAAAAAACCCACGTTAAGAGGGTTTAAGTAGGGTAACGAAAGGAAGTTACAACTTCGTGTTAATTTGATCACCATTTCTTCTCGATGGCGTGAAAAGCTATCGATCAAATCAATATGGCTTCCGGCAGGGATATTGAACGAAACCTTCTAGGGTAGTCTATTTAATTAGGCGCTTCCACTCTCGCACTCATAGGGCCATTAGGGGCGGCTGGAGGTAGTAAAAGGTGGGTAAATGGCAAGGGACTAAGTATGTGCCAATAGACAAACCAACATATTATATATATATATATATATATATATATATATATATATATATATATATATATATATATATATATATATATATAATTTATAAAAAGACATGCATTCATACAATACGGCCACATAGACACCAGCAGCATAAAATGAATGCAACAAAAGAAACATTCTCCCGTTCTATAGTTAAAGAATTGCTTGATGTGTTGTGCTAATGTGCGTGATAACAACGTGCAATAATTTTTTCTACCTCTCTGAAGCTCGGCGGACACAGTGTGGCTCTGTTGTAGAGATTTCTTACTGATGGTATCACAGATGGTATCACAGATGGTATGGTATAATGAGAATCACGTCATTGAAGCCGAGACGCCGTTATACAGATAGCTCAGTCTGTACAGTGTCTGGTTTGTTGATACGATCTGGTGGGTGGGGGTGGGGAGCGGGGAGATTGATTCATTAAACTATTTTAGTCGTGTCAGTGAACTTGCTCAGCTTTAACGAGTACCTGGCAGCGTCATGGTTATTAAACCTAGGACACAGTTTATCTTTAATACTGCTACCTTCACTCAATGAACTCATTGTTTCAATATTTCTTACACCACTGAAATACAATATTTTTTCTAAATTGGAGAAACGATACAAGTTTATTTTCCCAAACTATAAAAAAAAACCTTGGATTTTTATCTCTCTACCTTTCTCAATATGATTTTCAGTTAAAATTCCTGTACACATTTATTTAACTTTCAGCCATTGATACCTTTAAGTTTCCTGAGACTAACGGACTATAGGGTTAGTTTCAGTGGCGTCGCTAGGTCGGGTGTCAACCGGTGCGGCACTTCGAGAAACAAAGAAACAAAGTATATATATATATATATATATATATATATATATATATATATATATATATATATATATATATATATATATATATATATATATATATATATATATATATATATATATATATATATATATATATATATATATAAGTGTGTGTCGGCCTACATATTTCATGTATGTGTATAAGCTTTAATCACTGCAGAATAATAATAATCTATAGTCTGTAAAAAAACAACCAAGTTGAATGTAGCAATGTTTTCTCTTTAGTTAGCATGTTTACGTCATGGTGTCACCACACACTCTTGTAAAAGTTGACGATTTGTACTTAAAATACTAACTTTAATTAATCATTAATGGAACTGGCAAAAAACAACAACATTGTTCTTCGGTACATTTTGCAATTTTTTGCCTTGGTGTCACCCGGTGCGGTCCGCATCTCGCCCCCCCCCCCCTCTACGAGCCTGGTTAATTTAAAGCTCTATGGTAATGACTTGAGTTTGGGTTAAGTATCGTCATCGGCAAAGTCCATTGTAATTCATAATTGTGTTTTATTGTTCCGCTTCGGTGTGTTAAACAGTAATTTAAAAAAAAATAATGAACCTAACAAATATTTCTCTGGCTCTAAGAGCGATAAAATCGTTTTACACCCAAACAATCTTTTCAATACAATTTAGTAAGCAACTGTTTTAAAAATTAAAATTCATGTTTATTTTTCAATGTCTAGTACATGTCAAGCTTGTAATTATAATCAATTAGGTTTTTATTAATTCTTTTATTTATTTTTTTATTATCACATTCTGGGATTTAGGAAATGTAGAATTGTAGCAGATCGCACTTATCTAAGCCGACACATTCTCCAATCTCAACCACGCAGTGTTTCCTCCAGACTTTTTTTCTCCCGGGGGGGGGGGGGGGGGGGGGGCACTTGAAATTTTCGGGGGACGGGGGGCGGGGGACTAAAATTTTCTTTGAGGCGAGGCCCCCCCCCCCCGCCCACCAAAAAGATGCCTGGACGAAACTCTGCAACCCCCACCCACCCACCAAAAAAAAAGCGAGAGAATAAACAAACCAGCAACAACTGAAACCCAGTCACAAGCATTACTGTCTGTCCTATTAATAGCGTACGCCAATAAGTAATACGATTCGCGGAAATCATTCGTAACTTACTCGACCGATCGTAACCACTCTGTTAAACCTGTAACGTTAACCTATCTATCAGCTATATAGAAGGAGAACGTCCCCGGATTCTTTTTTCGGGGTCATATGCAAATGCCTTACGGCCTAAGTGGATGAACACTTAACACAAAGACCCACTAGGGCTCGAATTTAATGTCTAGGGAAGCTAGTGATACTATTGTAATTAGCACTCATCCAATCTACATACGACCTTTTAATCAGCGAACTCAGTTGTGGCAGAACACAAAGATGAACTAGATAAAATATTTAATGTATAAAATATCAAAAACCCAACTTACAAAATGTAGGAAAATCACTATCACAGATTTCTACACTGTCTAAAGAACAGCTACAGGCCACACAACACTGCTGTAGCTTCAAGACTTACTTAGCGACAAGTAATATTAAACTAGAAGACTAAATCAACTGAAGAAAGCAAGGCACACACAGGTCTTAAGTACTCTCACGTTCAAATGGTCAGAGTCTATAGCCGGACAATATGGACGGCTGCCTGATAAAGGTAAAACAGCCTCGTAGACTGCCAGGTCAAGATAAACTGCCTCGTGTTGCGAGTGTGCAGTGCAATTAAAGACTTCTGTGACAGGGGAGGTTATCCTCAACTCATGTCGCCATTGGTTGGGATAATCATCTGATCAGAATCATTCAATCAGATTTTAATGGAAAATTTCTATGTCTCAAACACCTTAATAAGTCAGTGGAAAAACCCCAGGTGTTACACCATCATTCCATATAAGGAATTATACAATGTCAAAATAAAAATGACTCGACCTAAGTAGGTCACAAACCCCCATTATTATTTTTTAGACTTTTAATTTAGAACAAGATTGGGTAATAGATTTTTATGTATTGTCAACTGTGACACACTTAGTTATATGCAAACTTTGAAAGTATTCAATTCTGTAGAAATTGTCTAAAATTGAATATTAAAATTCAACTACAAACATAAAGTGAATAAATAAAATGTGAGATAAAGTAAAAGCTTGTTATATACAGGAAGATGCTGTGATGAACTAAATATACTCTGCAGGTTTTGTTTACTCGACAAAAGGCTACCAATAAAATACTGGGCGGTTAATCCATGATAAATCAGAACAACTCAGCAGGTTTTACTCACTCGACAAGTGCTCGGGGATTTGGATCTCCTGAAACTCTGGAGCAAATCCTCCATTTTTGGAGGTCACGGCCGCCGACATGACGACAGGTCACACACAGCGAGCACGGTGTACGTCTTGTTTACATAACCCAGGATATCCCGACATACACATAGACATGCATACGTCCAACTGAGCAACAACAATGGCGAAATTTGCTCAGCCTGGGCAGGAAAACAATAACACCATTATTTTATAAATCTGCTAATCCAGACGAAATCCAGCGTCGGTATGAAGACAGCACAACAAACCCAGGACACGAGGGCTAAATAATGAACGAAACTCCGTGTAACAGGTAGGTCATCCATCCAGCCTGACACGAATGTAAGTGTACCCCAAGACACACAAGACCACTGGTAAGAAATCCATCGCAATACTTATTACCACAGATATGTTTACATGGCTGTTTTAGAATTAACTTGCATATAGGCAACTTGCTTGTATAATGACGGGACAGACGAGAGTGTGTTTGATTTAAGTGGGGTGTTTATAAGGCGGTGTTGGTTATACGGGAGCATTGTGTAAGAGAACAGCTTGCCTTATAAGCGGTGTGTGTGTGGGGGGGGGGTGGTGATGCAGCTGTTGCAGGCTTTCTGTGAGGGTCAGCTGTTCTGATTTAGCTGGGAAATAAATCTTTTACAAGATGCGTACGCTAGTGGTTTGAAACATTGGTTATGTACAGAAGTATGAGACATAGGATGTGTACATCTGAAGATGATACATCCGATGTGTACAAAATTGTGTTAAACATCAGAGGTGTACAAATATAGCTGACACATCAGCTGTGTACAAAATTGTCTGTAATAACATATGTCAACAAATGGAGGTGACACATAAGATGTGTACCAAATTGTTAAAATGCTAAGAAGTGTACAAAGGAAGGTGACACATCCGCTGTGTACAAGATTAACTGAAATGTTGGATGTGTACCAATACAGGTTAAGTATTGCATGTGTACAAAAATGTCTAAAAGCTGAACAAATAAAGTTGAAACATCAGATGTGTACAAAAAGGATAAATCATCAAATGCGTACAAAACTGACTTAAACAGATGTGTACGCACGTGACTGTTACGCCCGATATGAAAACCAGACATTCAACCATAATATGTGTACAAAAATGCCAATATATGTATTTGTACGCACGTACACTCATGAACATAAACTTGATTTAGTCTGTGTTTACGTCTACGCAAACAGATGTCGGCATACATATATTAACATACAAACTAGATTAAACGAGTCTCACTTTTCCGATAGAACGGCGAGTATAGAAAAGTAGATGAGATCGATGAAGAAATCAATACACCTGGTGTGAGAATCTGTGGCCAGTTTTCTCCAGGTGTTGTTTCTTGTGTATGGCCAGACCACCGCCCTCCCCCGCCCAAGATTAACTAACACCCAGATCAATGGGATTAAATAACTGCAAAACGTTTCATGACCAACATTGAAACAAAGGTTTAAAATTTTCAAGTGGTAAAATGCAAATCGCGTTTTTTTTTTAAGTTGAAAAAAATAAATTAAAAAAAATAAGAATTATTCTTTCCTTTATTAAGGGAAAAAAATCATTTCATTATTGAATTTTTAATCTGCAAAACGTACAGTGAAGAAAAAAGCTCTATAAAAAACATGAAAAGTTTCATTTATCGGGCGATTAGTTCGGCCTCACTGGCCAACACTGGGGACATGTGTGGCTTAGATTGGCGAATACGTAATTATCGGATCTAATGGATGGCTTTATGGTTATTAAGAAGAAAGTCCGTCCATAAATTTAGACCCAATAGATCTATTACCGTAGCGATGTAGGCAAATAATTAGGTGTGTTACGGTAAGGGGCTTGGATGTCTTGAAGGCTAGCATCGGGGTTTAGATGACATAAAGGCTATCGTTATGTAGGCAAAGGCCAGACTATTGCAGTCAGCCTGTGGAAAGTTTTTTGGAGAATCAGTCTAGGGAAAGTTTTTTGGAGAATCAGTCTAGGGAAAGTTTTTTGGAGAGTCAGTCTAGGGAAAGTTTTTTGGAGAGTCAGTCTGTGGAAAGTTTTTTGGAGAGTCAGCCTGTGGAAAGTTTTTTGGAGAGTCAGTCTGTGGAAAGTTTTTTGGAGAGTCATTCAGTGGAAAGTTTTTTGGAGAGTCAGTCTAGGGAAAGTTTTTTGGAGAGTCAGTCTGTGGAAAGTTTTTTGGAGAGTCAGTCTGTGGAAAGTTTTTTGGAGAGTCAGTATGTGGATAGTTTTTGGAGAGTCAGTCTAGAGAAAGTTTTTTGGAGAGTCAGTATGTGGAAAGTTTTTGGAGAGTCAGTCTAGAGAAAGTTTTTTGGAGAGTCAGTCTATGGAAAAAATAGCTAGGATAGAGTCCGGGTTTAGGTTTGTAGGAGTTGGTTAGAAGTAATTTAGAAGTAGATTTAGGTTGGGCTAGAATGGATTGTTTACGAGAAATAGATAACTGTTGATTGATTTTAATTATTGTTTGTAGTAGTGTAGAAAAACTTTTGTGTTGTGTCCCATTTTAGAAGTCTACTGCACTTCTCAACAGAAAAAAGACCAGAAAGAATTTTAAAAAGTCCCATAACTAGTCAAAAGTGTACCTGCACATACAACACCTATATATTTCACCTGTACTTACCTTTAGGTTTACTCACAATCCTTGTGCTCCACATAGATAATCTATGACGTCAGCTTAACCGTATAATTAACGACTAATCCGATGATCCTTCCTACATGAGTCCATATGAGATAAACGAAATCACATCACGTCTTTCAATAGGAGTCTAAATAACATTTTTCAGGAGCATTACAAAACACATGTTTATAACTTCAACACAGATCTGCAGTTTATCTCTGGCTAGAGGTAAACTATGCGAACTGAATAAATTTTTAATTAACAAAACAGATTTGAAAATAATAAACAAATCTATCATTAACTAGGCAAAAAAATCATTAGCGTTGTGATTGTCATATTTTATTGATCAATAAAAAATCTATAAACATGACGTGAAACTAAACAATAATTGAATCGTATATTTTTAGTTTTTTTCTTTTAAAATAAAGTTTATACATGATGAATCGGTGAGTTATGAAACATAATGATAAACATGTTTTCATACTGTATCTTTGATTTTAACATAGCAACTGGTCACATATATTAAAAAGAACTATTGGTCTTGTTAGGTTTTCGGAGGGAGGGGGGAGGGGAGTCGAATGCAAGATGGCGACAACCACACACACACACACATTCACTCTCACATACACACATATATATATATATATATATATATATATATATATATATATATATATATATATATATATATATATATATATATAATTCATGTGCTAGAAACAGATACACAACGACATACACTACCATTTAAAAACTTAGCATTGAAATCACATCGTAATTATCATCATATAGGCCTACACATCAACATAAAAGTGTCAGCATCCCACCAGCGTATTACAAAAAAACATTATGATTCAGTGCTTTGCGTCATTAGTGTAATCAATTACCCACGATACCAATTTAAACCAACGACAGGCTGTAATTTAGGGTTGGCTATAAAAATATTTTATTAATTAGATAATTCATCAGATTCCCACTGCCCCCCCCCCTCACCCACACCTTATCCTACACACATTCCACTTGTATACACTACAACATCCTAATGGCTATATACGAATACTCATGTTTGGGGAAATACAGAGAAGATATAGCAATAAAGAGAGAGAAACGGAGAAACTCATTAATATAACAAATCAATGAGTTCCGCTACTTTCTCTTGTTGTGTTACGGTAGTTTCCCCTCGACGCCATGTGTGGTCAATGGACCCCTCCACCCCCCCCCCCCCCCCTCTCTCCCTTCCCACGGCCATCACGTTTCACTAGTCAATAGACCAAGATCTGAGTTGCCAAAATTAACTCCCGTCCATCTTTACAAATGTGGTTAGCGGCACCCAATTAGTTTCTATTCGCCGTCAGTAAAGAAACCACTACCTGCCCGTGAATGTCACGTCAACGAAATACAAAACATTACAACGTTTTGCAATACGGTTCGTGAAATTAAAAACTACCAACCAAGGACACAAAGATCAACACTCGTGGGGGGAAAAAACAACATCCAAGTTGATTGAACACTGATGACTACACGAGGGATTTATTTAAACAAGAGGAGCATATTTAATGAGATTAAATTGAACTTTATTATCCATTAGTTTGAAAAAAAAAAGTTTTTTTGATACTTTGATTCGCATTTAGAAGCCCCCCCCCCCTCCCCCCAAATTTTTTTTTTAAAGTTCTAGAACAAATATATCGTACTTGCCTCATCTCGTACTTGAGATAAGTTTCGTTTTTAGTCTCAAGTCTCGTACGTTCTTTGAATCATGTACTTGCCTCTACTGAGTCAAGTCTCAAACATAAAGTTTTGTACGTTCTTCGAATCACACAGGACTAGCCTCTACTGATACTTAATTCAAATCTCAATCATAAAAGCTGTAGACCTTTATTACTTTATGACAAAGCTATTCACCTTTAATTATCGCGGCTCCAGTTTTAAATTGACACAAAACTATCGATTCAAATCATTGTCATGGTAAAAAAAGTAATGAAGATTACCTTCAAAAAGAATTATTAATCCTAAACGTTAATTTCTATCCTTTCATATTAGGTTTGTGTTTTTAAAAAATCGGTAACATCCGTTATGAAATCACAGAGCACTATTTAGCATCGGTGCCGGGTGCGGCGTCGCTTGCAGACATTCCATTACCAAATGCCATCAGTGGATCCACCAGACGAGCTTTTAACGCGGTCCATTGTCTGGCATAGAGTGTTGCAAGAGTTAACGGCCGGCACAAATCGGTACCTTGTACTCGAGTTTGAGAACAAGCGGGATCAAGCCTGATGAAAAATCCATACGGCTTCCGTCTGCAAATAGAGGGGAGGGTGGGGGAAGCCGAGGGAGGGGGTGGGGGAGAACAGTGTACAAACAAATTGCTATTGCGAAAGTGGCCTCAGATAACAAAAAAATCTGGCCTTTCCTGGTCTATTTATAATGATTTGTTATTCTGAGCGTAATTTTTTAAAATCGATTTTTTTCCTCCATACGTACACTATTATAATTATAAGTAAAAACCCATTTTAAAGAACTGAATAATCAACAAGCAAATAAAGAAAGGAGGAAATCGATTCATCGATCACAAGCTTTTTTTTTCCACAGACCAACGACCACACTGCGAAAAAGCCATCGTTAAATAATGAATTCTCAATGATCCCTTGATGGGTTTTAGTATAGGCTTTCGTCGCAAGATAATAAACAGTTTCCAGTCGCCATTAC